CTAGTTAGCTTGTGGACCTGTGGCCTGGGGTTTCAGACTGCAACTGCAAATAATAATGAATTCCCGCTGAAAAGAAACCTCAGATGGCTTTGGAAAAGGCTAAGAGAAGACCTCTCTGTTAAGTCAGGAAGAAAGTGCAGAGGATGTCAAAATCAGATGGAAATTGCCCATTTTGTGTTCTTAACTCTAATTTAATTAATCTAAGGTCTGAAGAGTTCCCTTTTAGCATTTAGAAAACCTAAAGTAAACCTATACTAATAGTTCTGTTTTTTTAACAAGTTGAGCAAAACCTTTTTAACTACCACAAAACACTCTACAGCAGCGGTCGCCAACCTTTCGGACCTCCCGGACCCCCAGTGGTCCGCAGACCACTGGTTGGCGCCCGCTGCTGTACAGCACTTCTTGAAAAGATCATAAATTGGAGTTTCTATTATGGACCCATGAAAACCATTAGCCCTAAGATGAGGAGTATAAAACCAGGCGGGACCACTGCTGCCTTAGGAGCACGGTGGGTCCCGGGGGTGGAGCAGGGCGCTGCCTCAAGGCCGGGATCCGAGGCCAAGAGCCTGCTTTCGCTTTCTTAATGCTCGAGCTGGGCTGATGGTCTCTGGGTGCACAGAGGTTTGGGGGTCATTGTAGAGATCATCTTGCTCAGTTTCTAGATTAAAGGAGTGAGCCAGCTCATCTGGGAAGAGTCCTGAGAAGGCCCGGGGCAAGAGCCCTCGTGTGTGTCTTCTCACACGATAGACTCGGAGCTCTCTGCTGGCGTGAGTCTGCCCTGCTCTCCAGTTTTAAGAGTCTTAACCCAAACCTGCCGCTCCCTTGCTACTGTTCCATGTTTTTAAAAGTAAGAGAATGTAGCTCTGTTTCCTAATCCTATTTACCAACATCCCTTGGGACGCAGATTCAGGGTGTTTTTATAAAGGATTGTGACTTTCCGTGTCACGTGCAGGATTCCTGGAGTGCACAGAACTATGGGGACCCCTGTTTCCATGCACATCCTGGCTCTGCAGGCCGTCTGGGCACTGTGGCTTCACGGCCTTCCTTCAGAGAACTCGCCCCGAGGTTCTGGACAGGTCACGCGTGGAGTCCAGCTCCCTCTGCCTCCAGACTGCTGGGAGGTCTGAAATCTGTGATGCTTTTGAACAGGCCCAACGAGCATTCACTTCACTCATCTGTCCCTTGAGGTTAGGTCTCGGGAATCCTGGGAAGCAAACGTGTTGAGTGCAGCATTTGGGAGTCAAAGGCAGAAGCCAGGGCAGACCTCTGGTCACTGCGGCCTCTGTAAGGGACCCGCCTGCTCACCCACTTGCTCTCCTGGGCCTGGTTCGAGCTGGGGTTACCAGGAAACAGGCTGGGAATGCTCAGCTGGCTGAGAAGCTGTCTCCTCTAACACAGGCTGGTCCCGCTGTAGCCTCCCACAGAGAGTGCGAGCTGCCTTGGCCTCGCTGAGTGTCCGTCCATAGTGACAACTGCGGTCAGGCCGAGCCTCCTGCTGCTCGGTCCTGCTCTCCAGCTGGAGAGCGCGCAGGACGGGAGCAAAGCGGCCTCACTCCGGCCTGCGTGTCCCCGGGCCCTGCCGCCAGCTCCGCTGTACAATGCCCTCTATGTGCTCCCTGCAGGCACCAACCCCCAGGAAGAGTTCAGCCACCTAACCACTGAGGAAAGGAGCAGTGTGGAGGCAGGCCATCCACAGGGGCTGTGGGAGGGGGAGTGGGGGATTAGGAGCCCGCTGCTCTGGGCTTCTGCTCCCAGCACGAACCAAGCAGTGGGAGTGTCCACACTTTCCCAGGAAGGAAAAGGAGACCACGGGCCAGCTCCTCTCAGCTGTAACTATTCTCCTATACATGTGCACTCTCCCCTGTGATCTGTGAGCACCTTGAACATGCTGTGACAAGCTCGTTAGTAGGAAAAGTGTGACTGTAACAGACAGGTGTGCGAACACTCGCGTTAACTACAGGAGCACATGCGGCGGGCCCTTCAGGCCTGGCCTGCGTGACGCCGGGCGCCCTGCAGCCTCCGGGCAGCAGTGGGGCTGAGGAGCCAGAGAGCACTCTGCCACTCGAAACGGAGCTTGTGCACGAACGTGGCAGAAATGAGTTTGAATCTGTGGCAGGAAGTGGTGGCAGCCCTGGAGTGACAGGCAGCAACTATGGTGGGAACATGTGGGTTTGTCAAGAGCTAAGATCAGAAGCCCCTCCTTATGAGTCCGGCAAGTGGAAAGGCAGGGAGAACCGGAAAGGGCCCCAGGCTCTGGCTGGTGACATGGAAGTTGTCACGCCACAGCGTCCAGACCTAGGCACCCGCTCACTGACCCAGCATCTGGGCACTGGGACCCGCACAGGCCACACACAGGAAGAGGGGACTGCAGTTTTTTAAAAACACAGTTGTGACTCTCAGTCTGCCTGAAAGAAATAAGGCCAAAAAACAAAATGGGCCTGAAAAGTACTTTGCATGGAGATGCATTTCTAATATCCACAGAGGCAGATGGAGCCCTGAGAGGGAGCACGGTTCTTCCTGTCCCTGCTGCCGGGTGGTCCCCTTAGCAGGTCTGTGTTAGACTCATCCCGAGGGTGAGCGGCACAGTGCCAGCCTGCCCCGCAGCGCCCGGAGGCTGGCCGCCACCCGTGGCCTTTTCTCAGCTACACATGACAAGGCGTGCTGGGTCGCTGCCAGCCCAGCGAGGAAGGCAGTGCGGGCACCCAGTGTGTCCCAGCAGGCAGTGTGCTCTGAGGAAAGGTTTCTTTTCTCCCTCATTGCTGGTAACAATGGCTCCAACAGCCCAGGGCCCTTCAGCCTCGCAGCTTACAGCAGGGCCTGTGGCCTGACTGCGGGGAGGTGTAAGGGTTGTCTTTCTGTTCCCTACCCGCTGACGCCTGCGTGATGCCTTCATGGCTAACCCCATCCTCTGCCACTCCCGCCCGGTGTGTCTGCGTCTAAGACAGTTCTTCAGGGATTCAAAGCTGTTTTCAGTTAGAGTGAAAAGAACGCAACCCATCAACATTTATTTTTCCTGAAAATAAAATTTTCTCATCGTTGTCCTAAGGAGCCTTAGAATTTAACATTTCCCTTTATAGACACAATTTCAAAAAACAGAGTTCAGTGACACCTCTTTATCACCAAAGGAAGGAGAAGGGAATTTAAGTATTTTCAGAGTTCTACAAAGGAGATGGAAGTATGTAGTATTTATTATACATAAAAAGGTTATTTCATAGGAAACTTGACATAAACCCAATATGGAAACTCACACGTCAATTTCTATCAAGTTCTGCCTTCTGGGAAAGACCCGGGCGGAACTTTTTCCCTTTTGAGAACCTAAGTTTCACGTATTCTTGCTTCTCTATAAAGTGCAGAGGCCTACCTCCCCTGAAGTCTTTCAACAGAAAGCAGAATAGCTCAACACGACCACTCCGTGGGGGGGCCCACCGAGCCCCCTCTCCTGTAGGTGCTCACGCAGGACTGTGTGACGACCTAAGCTCAGTGTGGCTCCAGTTTCCTTGTTTTAAAGCAGCTGTCTTTGTCTTCAAAATAACCTGTGCATTATTCAGAGCAAGCAGTGTGAATACTAATCAGAAGTTACTGTAGGAATTTTTGTGACACAAAGGGATGTCTGTATACAGCTAAGCAACATCACACTTGAAGATAGTGAGAACAGCTTTGGTCATTGAACAGGTGGTTTTAAAGGCTGTGTACAGAATCTACAATAATGATAACCCTGCACCCAAACATTGTTTTTCATTAAAAACTCTGTAATACTTGTTCTTGGTAGAGCTATTTAAAATCCTGGAGGAAAATCAGAATAAAGAGCATGGTAGTTCCATCTTGACCAGATCCTTCTATGCAGTAACTTCAGACTTGTAGGGAGACAGTCTGGCCTCAGGCTCTGCACACAGCAGGGCTGCGTGCAGGGTCCTGCCGAGTGGGACCCTGGATTTTCCCAGCTCTTGGGTTGCATGAAGGGTGCAAACCCATAACACTGATATTTTGTAATACACGTCTCTGTCAAATAGATAAGGGAACATTTAGTCATAAAATACTTAAGAATTAGATGGTCCAGTGCAGGAGAACGTTGAAGTCTCAGGTAAACAACAGCTGGTCTCCAGTTGCAGTCTTGCGGGGGCCCTGCCAGGCGGATGTGAGCGCACAGTGAAGGACCACCAGACACCAGCCCGCCTGCTGCCTTCACGGTTCCCACACCCTTTGCTCTTTCCCCCTTTACAACTAGTTATGTCACATATTTCAGTTTTATTTTATAGAAAGCTAGGAATAGATTAAGAACACTAAATTATTGTGTTATGTTTATATCACAAAACTTCAATTAAAATGGATTTTAGGATTTACCTTTAGTATTTACAACATATCTACTGACTTTTTGTTAGGATTCAAACTGGTTAAGTGGTAAGAATTAATTCATATGGTTTTCCTAAGTAATATTTATAAAATGTAAAGTTTCTAAGTGGTTCCTCAATAATTATAATTAGTGATTTTTCTATCAGGGTAAATGTCTCAATTCAGCTACTAAAGACAAAAACATACTATGCTAAACTGCTGGGAGAGCTGATACACGAACAAAGTGAAAACTGTACATAATTTCTCAGCTAAGGAGTTTGGAAATAGATCACAGCAGTCACTTCTGTCACTGCTAATTATTTCAGCAGTTAGGTGATACATGTTTAAAGAACAAACTTGTGTAATTTTAACTGGGGTTTAATTTCTGTACTAATGCTAAATGATAATGTTCACCCGACTAAAAGACACATGTGGAAGAGAGCAGGGGCCTAAGCGGCCCAGGTGACCACACACATCGAGGCTCCACCAGAGATCTGGACGGAGGCAGTCCCAGAAGCAGACGCCCTCACAGTGGGTCATCGCCTGTCAGGCTGTCGGGTCTGGAAGAGGAGAGCCTGGTCAGTGAGGCTGCTCTGTTTTGACAATTCAAAATTTTATGGTTTAGT